TTTTTTTTTCATCTATCGATCTTGGTTTAATCAATGTTTAATCCTGATTAACATTAACGCTGTTTGTCCAGGATATTTACAAGTATGATTATCCCTCATTTAAGGTTATTTTTCACCTAAAAACCTACTTTTCTGATAGATAATTAGGAATTTAATTATTATAAAATTTAATTTAATTTTTATCAGTTAAATTTTCGTATTTTTTTCTGTAGATTTTAGCTGTTAAAGTGAATAAATTCGGAATTTTTTTAAAGGAATTTTTATTGGAAAATAATTAATAACAATTAGCAAAAATTATTTATTAAGCTGGGCTGAAATTTTTAATCATATTTTTAATTTATTTGATTAAAAATATATGCTTTCCACCTCAAATTAGTAGTGGTTTGCCCCTGTACATTATACTTTTCCTGCTAGCAATCGAGTCGTGCCAGTCATCTAACTCGTTTTAGGGGAAAATTTTTGAATTGAAATAATTATATCGTATATAGTTAATTGGCGACTCCTGCCTCTAAAATTTCCATATTTGTCTCAATTAACTATATAGGAACTTTCGGTTTTGACCGGAAGTTCAAATAGTTTATAGTAAGAATATTCAAATATTTTTACCCAGAAAGAAGTTACATAGATGACTGGCATGACGTTGTTGTTGTCGGGATAAGTATGATATACAGGGGCAAAATAGTATTAAAATCGAGAGCATATATTTTAAATTAAATAAATTTAAAATTATGATTAAAATTTCAGCCTGGCATTGTGACGATGTCACAATAAATTTTGCTCGTTGCATTTTAAAGTTAGTTTAAATTATTCTTAAAGTAAATTTCGTCATTTTTTTCCCTGCGAAATAATCGCTTTATTGATCAAAAATTTAAGTATAAATCCGAACAGCATTAAATTCTACGTAGTTATCACTTTATAATAGCTGAAATTATTTTACGAAAATTCTAATTAAAATCATTACGTGTCAGCATGTAAAATTCTTGCGAAAATTTACACATTTGATGTTAAATAATAAGAATTTCCTCTGCATAAATTATACAAATTTTAATTCCGAATATCATATTTAAAATTGTGATATTGTTAAGTATTACACCTTAAATAAATTAGCTAATTTTGGAGAAGATATTACAGCCGTTTTGGCATTTTTTATAATAAATTAAGTTTAAAAAACATGACTCGAATACCTAAATAACACTTTCATGCAAATTTATTCATTGTATCAACGTCATGTGTCCTAAAAAACTAGACAAAAAAATGACCATTTTTTCCACATTAAATCCTGATCTACACGGACATTTTCCTCATTTAGAGAAGAAAAATATCACAAAAATTAATTTTTTAATCCAAAAATAATATTTAATTAATTATATATTTTTAAAAAAACAATTCTACAAATTACTATAATGGATATCGATGAAAATTTTTTTTAAAAAATCGTAATTTCTGAACGTAAAAAAATACGCTGATGAATTTTTTTCCCTAGTCAAAAAGTATTATAAATCATAGAAGAATAAATTATTAGTGATGTATCCTCTAGTTTTTGTTAAGCAAATGGTGCGATTGTACTAGAGTATGATAAAACTTACCAGTTGTAATTTGTTCTCCCCCCTCTTACACACACACACACACAGACAGACACACACACTGGCTACTAAATTAAATTCAAATTTACGAAGGCACTTAAAGATAATGGAATTTGTTCTTTCATTTTGTTAGCAGATGTCATCTGATTCTTTTTAATGGAGAATAATGTAAGTTGGATAAATGAAGTTTTCAGATGGGTTTTTGCTTAATCCCGTATCATCTTCATCCTCCGCGTATAATTATTAATTATTATTAATTATAAATCTATCCTGTGATGATAACATAAACCCGAAATTCGATCGAATTTCGAAGTTTCTATGGTGATGAATTTGTAACAAGAAGTGATGAATTTTGAATCATTGTAGATCTTCCAAAATTTAGATATGGTTTACAAGTTGGTGTTTCAGTTAAAATTTTGAAAATTAAGAAACAAAACTCTGATTTTTTTAAAATAAATTTTGAAAATTTACATTGTTTTTATTGTATAAAACATTAATTAATTTGTTTAAGTAATGTTTATTTTAGTAAATAAATACAAATGTAACTATTGTTGCAGCTTGTAAGAAGAGATTTTGACCATTATTCGATTGATAGCAAATAAGATAATAGTATCATTATCATATATTATACGAAAAACAATATCTCCGTCATCGATATAACTAGTAAAAACGGAAAAAAGTCATCATTATCATCCTATTTCTCAAAAGTAAACAGAAATCGAGACCATCCCAACTAAATACAGATGTAAAAACAACGTAATTACTATATTTAAACGGCGATTTTAAAGC